TGGAACGAATATCCAAAGACTTTTGGTGGCCTCAAATGTTGAAAGCAGTCAAAGATTTTGTACAATCTTATGATATTTGTTCAAGATCAAAAACTCCTCGTCATCGACCTTACGGACTTCTTCAGCCATTATCCATTCCAAAACAACCATGGTCTTTTATTTCTATAGATTTCATCATGGATCTTCCAATCTCAGGTTCTTATGACTCTATATTCGTGATAGTAGATCGTTTTACCAAGATCGCATATTTTGTACCATGTACAAAATCCATCATATATGAAGAAATAGCTAAGCTCTTTCTTGACAATATCTATCGCTATCATGGATTACTCAAGGATATTATATTAGATAAGGGAACTCAGTTTGTATCAAGATTTTGGCAGATTCTTTTCAAAATTCTAAAAGTAGATATAAAACTATCTTCGGCATTCCATCTTCAAACTGATGGACAAACGGAGTGTGTTAATCAAGTTTTGGAGTAGTATTTAAGATTTATTATCAACTACCAATAAGATGATTGGACAATTCTTTTGCCATTGGCAGAATTTGCTTACAATAACACTCTACATTCTTCTACAAAATAAACACCTTTCTTTGCAAATTATGGTTATCATCCATGACTTGATACTTTTGACTTTACAAAAGTTGATAATCTTGCGACAAAAGATTTGGCAATTCATTTGTCAGAGCTACATGCAACGATAAAGGTACAATTAAAAGAAGCTCAAGAACACCAAAAGGTCAATGCATATGTCTATCAAAAGAAACAACCACAATTCCACATGGGTGACAAGATGTGGTTACTTTGTCACAATATCAAGACCACTCGTCCTTGTGACAAGTTGGACTATTGAAGGCTTGGACCATTTTCTATTTTTGTATAAATCAATCTAATTACATATCGTTTATACTTACCAGAGTCAATGAAAATCCATTTAGTATTCCACGTGTCTCTTTTTGAATCATAAAAGATAATAGAGATACCAAGAAGAAAATAAGCTCCACCTCTTTCTATAGAAGTACACAATAATGAAGAGTTCAAAGTGGAAGAAGTCTTAGATTCAAGGCGACGTCGAAATAAATTATAATATCTTGTCCATTGGCGCAGATATGATATTAGTGAATATACATGAGAGCCAGAAAAGAATCTTATAAATGCAACAAACATAGTGGAGGCTTTTCCTCGATGACATCCATCAAAATCAAGATAAAAATCTTCTTTATAGAAGAAATAAGATCTAGGTAAGATAATATTCTACTTTCAATCTTTGTTTGTAGCTTCTTAGTAGTTGTGACGTTGACAAGATGGAGAACCAACAACTAGCGAATTTGACTCAAGAGCCTTTGTTTGTTGACCTACTGGATGAGACATTACGATTGTTACAACCTTCAAGACGACACAATCGAGATGATGTCATGAACATACTCATGTGAGCTAATAATTACATATATAAATAAGTAGAAGTAAGTAAAAGTAGATAAAAGTAAATTAATTCTATAATATTTTCTATGAAAGCTTCTTAGAAGCTTAATAGACGTTGCTTTGACTTCATAGGTATCTTTAATTGACTTTTTGGATTAAAAACGTAGTCATCAAGTTGACCATGTGCCACACATGTTGTTAGCTTGAAGACCAAGCTAATTATGTGGCCCACACCTAGAAAAACTTGCCTTGTAAGTCAAGGCAAGTGTCCTACAAAGTCAACACATATTGGAGGTCTTATAGAATGTTGCCACATAGCCCCTAGTTAGATAGTATATATAGAGACAATAGTGAAGCCTTCTTCATTTTTATCAACTTCTTTCTTGCTTCTAGTCTAGTTTAAAGGGTCTCTAGTTTTCTTGTCTTTTGATAATAGTCATTCCAATTTCTTTCTTAATATACATATTGAATTATTTCTATTTTATCATCTTTCTTTAAGAGAAGTCTCAGTTGTTTATTTGTCTTTATCAAGTTCTTGTCCTTAATAGTCTATTGTTTTAAAAAAAATTATAAGAGTTTTTTTTTTTAAATCTTTTAGTCTATCATAGCAAAAGAGCCTTATTTAATGTTGATTTTTAAGAATCCATCATTTAAATATTGAAATCTAATAATAAAAATATTTTAGTAATTACTAATCTTATTAAATACTACTACAAAATATTGGTCAAAATCTTTAAACAAAGGATCCAACTAATCCTTGTAAATTTGATACATCAAGATCAATCATCTAATATTTCATTATTTACTATCTTGAAAATGAAATATTTGTCTATAAAATAGTTAATCAGATTAAAATAACTAAATAAAATCATTTGATACCTTTGTTTGATTTTGTGGAAGCTCATAATTGTATTTTATAGAAGTTCATCTTTTAAGCTATAGATGCTACTGGATTTGTATTAAAAATAAATAAAAATAAAAATAAAAATTTATAAGGATAGAAGAATTAACAAATATTAGTAGTTTATCTTACAAATTCTTTTCTATAGAAAAGAAGATAAAAAAAAGTTTGCCTTTTGATTGCCTACATATTTCTTACAGTTATGAAAATCCTAGTTTTTAATTTAAACTCTTTCTTCCAATAATGTAAATTAAAACGCCTATTCTTTCTTAAGTTAATAAAATTAATCATATTCAACTAATATCTTGATGATTCTATAACCATCTTTGAGGTCACTAAACAAATTATTGATATAGTTGTAGATTATATTGTAGATTTTGATTTTATTTTACAATTTAGAATAAAAACTTATAGGTATAAAAAAAAATTTAGGATTTCAGAAATTTTAAGCTTCATGGATTAATAAACATGTGATTTTATAAGAATTTTTTTATACATTAGAAAAGAAACTAATACAAAAAATAAATAAATTATGGCATTCTTAAGAATATGAATTAAGACAAAATTTTAAAAATATAATATTTTTGTATCATTGAAAGATAGAAAGTATATAAATAAGAAATAGTTATAAGATAGGAAGGAAAAAAAAAAAAAAAGTTGTTACCAATCATAAAAAACTTAGGTAGTCTTAAACCAAAATTAGAATACAAGGAAGATTTTTGATGAGACTAAAAATGGCCTTAGTCTAAGTATCCAAAAGGTCTTATAGAAGCATTCTAAGATCCACAAGACTTGTGGTTTAAGCATCAAGTTGTAGGTTGCTTCCAACATGGTTTTTTAAAATACAAAACTTATAGATTAAGTCTAAATAGCCATATAGTATATACATAAAAGTCTAAATATTCAATCTCTCTCTAAAAAACTTCTTTGAAGCATGTTAAGGAGGCATTATATACTTAACATATTTCTATTTACTTGAGGAATATATGTATCTGTTACATATACATTACTAAACAATATATCTAATACAAAGGTTTCAACTTTTTAGAACAAAAAATGAAACTTTAAAGACTATTTATAAATTGGATGTTTTAATCAATTTTACTTAGTTATTTGAATCTTCTAATTTTTCTAGAATACAATATAAACTAAATTTAACAAGTCAAAAGACTAAAAAAATGTAAATCATCAACCTTCACTAGATAATAAAGCATACATCAAAATTTGTTATAATCTCAAAAGTATCAAGTAGGATTGCAAATGCCAAGAAAGATATAGCCAAATGTATGTAGTACAGAATTCTAAACAATTATTTTTCATTTCTATATTATATATTATAATTTTAAAATAATGATTACTTCTAGAATATTTTGTATTGAAAGTCAATGCTCTTTACTTCCATTATATAGGTATCTAATAGATAAATTATACCAGATGCTACAAATCTCAATCAACCTTAGTATAATAGAAACAAGAGTAAAATACAATCTAAACTCTATTGAATATATATATATATATATATATATATTATTGTTGCAAGAAGATAAAAGTACATGCATACATACTTGAAAAAAACTCAAATCTAAAATATTTAAACTCAGTCTCCTTCCTGCTAAGCAACCTTGTATTGTTTGGAAGTATAGATTCACAGAATGGCAAGGGTCACAATGCACCACAGTATACATATATTAGAATTCTAAGCAACTTATCTTAAAATCCAACCAACTTTCTTTTACAATTTTTTTGTAATTTAGAATGGTGCAATGCAATGCAATGCAAAAAAAAAATCCTCTCCAATTGCATTCTCTCAACACTCATTTAACTCACCAGTGGGGTTTAGATTCTTTACCCCTAATTTTCCATGAAGTGGTAAACATTTCAAGATAAAACTTTGGCAAAGTAAGTAATCCATATTGATATGTTTCATCTAGCGCGAACGGATTGCAATAATCACAAAAAAGTACCCAATAATCATAAATGTAGACACACCCAACTTAGAATCATTAGTTACCCCCTCCCAGTCCAATTCGAACACTAGTTAACACTAATCAGGGTTTCTGCGGAACGGTAGAATAATGTCGTTCAAGACAGCGTGGGAGCCGGCGCCGGCGAGGCTCTCGCGGAGCTTGCCACGGCGCTTTCGACGTCGCCGATGACTACACAAGGACACGCCTTTGATGTCCTCGATGTCTGGAACCCGCGTGAAAAGCACCGCCACAAGCGAAGCCGTTATCTTTGGAAGCGGGGTTAGTTATGCTATGAAAGATGCTGATTAGCCAAGCAAGAGCTTGGTTCTGGATGTGTGGAGTCTCTGAACAGTTCTGTACATTGAGCTGTTAGCACAGAGGTTTGATTTCACAAACGATGTGAGTAGAAGAAACATGTGCGGCGCACGAGAACATGTTCATTTGGTCTTCAACGATACTTCTCTCGGCAACATGAACTTTCAATTAGTGAGATTTACTATGATTCAACCTGGTTCCGTTCAAAACGTGTATACACATCAGAATCCGAACGGAAGCCCGACAATGTGAGAGGATCTGAAGCCCCAACAATTCTGCACCGTTCTAGCATCGGCTGTATGAACTTCGCAAAATGCAGTGTCCTGAAAAAATTTGGGTCAGATATCCAATCGGACAATACCTCAGGTGGTTTGATTAGAATCCTGCCACTGTATTGATTTCAATGATGAGTAAGTACCATGTGTTTGATTATGGTGGGTGCCATGAACTCGGCAATGGCCAAGTAGAAGCGGGCGCCAAGCAACCACAATCACAGCTTCTGTGCCAAATTCAACTATGGAAACAATAACCATTGTACAACCTGTGCCTTTACTGATACAGATTCCATTGCTAATCCTAATATTTAAATGGCCGAGTACTTTCCAGCAGCAGCAAACTCCGGCTTGGTCTTTCCAGCTCCAGTCTTGTCGTAACATGCAGTAACAGGAACAGGAACAGATGCGCTGGAAACCAGTTAAGGAGAAGCTATACGTAATCCGCTTCACGAAACCCCGTTCATTGTCTATGTTGAATGTCCGGAAACGACACAGGCGAGCCACGTCCTAGTATCCCAACAGATTCGATAAGTTTCCCGTTAACAATCCTTCAAAAGGAAAATATAATTTCGTAATTTGCCATTCGACAGCTAACATACATAACCTGATTGACAGCGTCATTTTTTCTGATTTAAGACTCAGAATGACATGCTTATGAGGAAAGACAGTAACAATCTGAGAGAAGACCACATTTGGTTCCAGAGAGTGCTCAAAGAGGAGGCATTACCTCTAGAGAAGATCTTCATAGACTGCATTTATTTCGAGTGGGATTGGCCAGAAAGGGTGGGATTCTCCGTGACCCGACCCAGCCGGGCAGTGAAGCTGTTAACAGGTTGTAGCCTCCGGCTAGAAACCGCCACAGGCACTTGTTGAATTCTGGGTACATGCTTGTGCGATTTGTGCAGAAAAGGCTGCCACAGAAGAGCATGCTAGTGTTGTTTAGGAAATAATTTTAGGAACAGAAATCCCAACCGTGAAGCTGCGAACCCAGATGACCTAGTGACACCAACAACACAACCGGATGCTGAAAAAGAGATTTTATTCTTGGTGATTGTTTCGGAGCAGTTTGGGAACGTACCAAGCAGGGTGACAACATAAATCGTCTCCATGATTTCTCTGACTTGAATATTCTTAGCCTGACATCAAGGCTTTGCGAATGCTGCGCCGTGTCCAAATTTTGACCCCGATGCATGTCATCACCATACCTTCCCGATCTACTTATCTCAAGAAACCCGCTTAAGGCTTTCGAAGATAAGCCACTAAGGGCTCTGTTAGACAATCCAATGCTATCAACCACTTCTTTTACATAATCGATTTTTCGAGTTGGAACCCATTGCGGTGGTTGGTCCAGCACAGAAATCTGTACTTCACTGTCTAACGAAAAGGAATGTGATGTTTCGCTATCTGAAATGGAGCCATCCTCCAGGTCCTGAAAATGGTCACTTAATTGAAGGTCTTCGCTCTCCGAATCAGTGGACATGGCGGATTTCTGAACAGTGGTTTCGTCAGTTTTAGGTGGAGTCCGCGATTTGTCGGCCTCATGAAAGACGAACGAGGAGGCAATGGGATTGTCGAAAGGGAATTCATCTTCATCTGTTTTCGCCTGAGCATGCTTCATATTTGAGCAACAAATGTGGTTGTCAGGGCAAGATTTAAAATCCAAGCAATTGCAGAAGTGTTGTTTACCGAAAGGTCAGGCCATGATAATGAGATAACCATTTTGAAAGTGAAAATTTACCTGCTGTTGTGTGTTTCTCACTTTCTTCGCTTGTTCCATGTCCGGTTCGAGCAGATCAGGCTCCACTGCGACCTCCATTTGTAACCGACCAGAACAAGCCCACATGGAGCTCCCTCTGCTTGATCCAAACCAGCTTCGCCCTGAGTTCAAATCTGACCGCGAGCCTTTCTTAACCTTTCTGGAACTGATCGATGAACTCCCATCGTAGCTACTGGTCAGCGATATTGGTGTGAGTCCATCTTTGCTCCGATGAGACCCCTTCTGATGCCCCCTACTCACCATAGTCGACACTGTTTTGAGAGGCTTCTGCACTAGGGAAATGTTCCAAGTTCTGCTACTCGACGACCAGCGCTCGTAAGTTGGTTTCTTCTTTCCCTGATTAGAATATGCTTCTATAAGATCGGGATGACATGGTGAAGGTTCAAGCCATGCAACTTCACTTGGGCCTTCAAGACCATCACTGTCAGCGGATGCATCTCCCACAATCAAGTAATGAGCAAATTGGCTTTCGGGTACTGGAGTTGCAGAGGTATTCTTTTCATCGTTTCTACGCCGCAATGACTTCTCCTTTGATTTTCCACGAAACGATCGTTCTGAATTCGAGGGTGATGTTGGGCAATCCAGTGTGCTCACAGGAGATTGCCTTAGATCCCCGCCAATGTTAAAACTGACACTGCGAGAACCAATCTTGCTGCTGGAGTTTGATCCGCTCCTCAATATCTTTCGGTGCAATCTTGACTCCCCAACTAAATTCTTAAACATTCTCTCAGCGAAGTTGTTGCTTCCACTGACGCCTGGGAGATCTGGAGTGAGTACGTTATTGTCGAAGGTAAAATGTGCCGCATTCAGTAGGCAGCTATTCTGATTACCTTCCGGAGTTGAACAAGGATAGAGTAATCCACTAGGAACTCTTTTGCCCTCTGTATTGAGCTGCAACAATGTGCTGCTTGGTTGGGGATGATCGCTATTTGTGCCAGAAGTCTGCGCGTCCAGCCACCCGATATGATCTCTACTGCCTGAAGGAGGCGCTATGGACAATGCACTGTAGATCTTCGCCATCTCCTCGAGCGTACCCGATTCTGCTTCCCATTTCAAAGACACGGATCCGCTGGTGGGAAACTTGTCTGATATCATAGACGAAATAGAGGGTTGTCGGCTAAAAAACACCTGCGCGTCGTCATCTGAAATGTGCACCCCCATCAGAGTTGACTTTAGATTGAATTGAACTACCTTCGGCTCGTGAGGTTCACCTTCATCACTGGAATCGTCATGACATTGCAGGGCCGTGGAATCTCCTAGCAGCAATTCTCGTGCTTGTGATCTGGCATCCTCAGACGGAGAATCTCTGCTGCTGGATGCAGGTCGCTTCACATCTTCAACCTGGTCCATATTGTGTGGTCAATGCACCGCTTCGATCTGCAACTACTTCAAATTATCCAATTTAGAATGCAGATTCAAATGTCATCAGCTTGAAAGCGGAACAGGCCAGCTGACGAGAGAACAAAATTGATTTGTAAAATTATTCTTCATGCACCAATATGGTGCATCTTCAGCCTTGAGGATAACGGAGCGCATGCGGTGCAACCAAATCAACCGATGGCTGAACAAGCATCGCACACTCCCTGCTCTATTTTAGATTCAATATCGAGTCGACAGGGAGTCGTAGCTCCATCAATTTCTTCCTTTGGAAACGGATCTCTGGTACCATCAAATCTGAGCTTGACGATCACTTGCATAACTGAGCCTATCCATGACGGAGACTAAAATGTGTCCACATTCTGGCTTCGTAACCAGCCGTCGGACAAGGGAATGAAAGCATCTACACCTACATTGGCTCAGATTCATTCACTGTCACTTGGATCTGCATTGAGCTCTACATCTGACTGTTTTCGAAAAGCTTCGCAAAAGTTGCTTCTAAATGAGAGGATACCAGCAAACTCGAAGTAAAAAACATCATTTCAGATAAGACGTGGTCAGTTGGCTGTCACTACCGAGCTTTAACAGGTCAAAATCGATAAACATTGAGAAGCACACCTTGTGAAACCTCTCTCTCATCAAAAGCACGAAGCAACAAAAATTAAAGATGTCTGCTAAAGATGACTGTTCCAATGCAACCAATAATCTAGCTTACACGACGTGCTTCGACAACCAGATTCTGGACCTGCAAAAATTCTGACGGAAACTGCGCATAGCCAGCTCTCTCATAACACACTATACAGAACAAATATGATCAACAATCGATCATAGCTACCGACTGTTGCATCCTAAGGCAATGGAACAAAAGACCTATCCGGAATCCAACTCCTCTCAACTAGGCAGATTCAGAGAAGTACAGGTGGCCTAGCGAGATGGGAAGGGAGAGAGGTGGTCCTGAGGCGGCGGCGAAGGCACAGGAAGCCCACGTTCATGCACCCCATGTTTGATATATAATCCGAATAATACGGTTGTCTTTAACTCCATAGGTCATACAGCGCTCGATTTATTACATCTGAACGCAATTCTCTTAGCCTTCCCGCATTCAGCTTTCAGGGTTGAATTCATAGTGGCAAACCTTACCTAGCCTAGTCCACTCTTCATGCGTGCTTTCCTGGTTTGCGAAGTCGGTTGCAGAAGAACATCGTTGTTTCTTTACGGAAATATTGCGTGGTGTTTGATGCGTAGTGGTGAGAAAAGTCACGTTGTCGTTAGAGGATCCAGATTCCTGATTCATCCGTCAAGAAGGTGCTGGAGTTTGGTCTACTCTGAAAAAATAGCTAAGTAGAGTAGTAGAACTGGATCATTTACACTATTTCTGTTGCACCGATATACAATAAGCTCCTTGCCAGACAGCGGCGTGTGCCTCATTTGTCGACTCTTGTGCATGAGCCAGCTCCCGGTTTACCATCAATGAGAGTGCCAGCTGATACAATAATCCTTGAGGGGAGATTGTGGCGAGATTCATCAAACACAACCCTACTGTTCCACAATTGGAATATGTGCCATGATATTTGGCTTGATACCGAACCCCTATAAAGCAAGCCCACCGGCTCTGATGTACATTCTGAGATGAACCTTTATAACCGAGTTCGGCATCAACGCAAAAAATAAACATTAACTTCGTGTGGAATTTCTTAATCAAGCTGCGCGGGAACCCAATGTGGCATTAATGAATGCAGTCGTCTCCTTCGGAATTCTCCGTGCCATTCCGTCAAAGACTAAGGATTCACATGCTCAATTGCTTCGAATGACCTCATCTTCCTAGCCTCATCACCTATACCCAAGAGGAATTTTGAGAAGAACCCGGTAAGAACTCTCTTTAAAAGTCGATCGCTCTCACTCTCCCAACCAACACCCTGTAGCCCGATCTCGGTCGTTATTGCCTGCCATTGACTCAAGATCGGGAAACAAAAAACACAAAAAAAACAAAACAAATATGGAGTGAAACAGCATACTTTCCCCTAGAGATTCGGCATTCGAGTCGGTCGAAATTGTTACTGGGTTAACCAGGCGGCGGCATGATTCGCGCATTCGAATCAGTTACATATGGTTCAAGTGGGGGAGGGGGGGTGATATGTTATTGCGCACATTATGATAAAAAGCAGCGCATAAGAGCTGTAGATGAATAGAGAGCATTTGTGGTGCGCGGGATTTGCCGAAGCAATAGAGAGGCTTGGCAGGGAGTGAGCGTAGTGGGGCGGAGAATGAGGCTGGTGACGAGGGAGCTTTCCACGAGATTCTGAGTTCCCCCGAGCGGGACTCTACAAAACAAGGAGATTCTTCCTTCCTTCCCCTCCCGCGCTGTGGGAAGAATCTGTGGCGGTTCGCGTTCCTCCTGGGTTTGAGGCTCGATCTTGGCCCCCAAATATCAATCGGTCCAGGGCAGCAAGGCCTGGTATTAGCACTCGCACATGGAGCTCACGAAACTCATCTACGATGCCGGTTTGCTCCATTCAACAGTTCCCCCCCCCCATCCCATAGCAATCCATGTATTTCATCCACATATATGCATCTACGTGTATTTCATCTATATGTATTTCATCCATATGTATTCATCCCGATCTCATCCCATTGCATCTTTTCCTTTCTTTCTTTATTTCTTCTTCTTCTTCTTTCCTTTATTTATTTGTATTCCTTCACTTTCCTTTGTGTTGTTGGCTCTATGGATTCCATAATATGGTTTGTGTTAAAGTAAGAATAAGATACTATTACCTTAAGTAAGTTGCTAATGGTCAAAAGATCGTAAAAGAATGAAGGTAAGTTACTAATGTCGCAACTAAGGTTTTAAATAATGGCTAGATTAAGATGAATTTGGGATTTATTTGGATGAAATAAAGATTGATGAAGATGATCATAAATGAAGCTCAATTGTAATAGATATAATCTCTTCTTATAAGTAAAGGATGTTGGAAGTGAGAGGCATTTCATTTCACAATTTTCTTATGTACAACATTTCTAATTTCTACTTACTTGTGTCTTAATTGTTGTATTTTTTTAATAGGTTATAGGCCCAAACACACTTTATTATGCCATTTTAGTAAATTGATGTCATTCTCTAGTGATTGCACTTGTGTGAAATAGATCTTATGGTATTTATTGATATTAGAACTTGTAAGATCTAAACTTGTGTTTTGATATAAAGATGTGCTGATTTTGATCTTATAGATCTCTAACATTGCTTTGTGGATTCTTAACTCTTAAGATTGTGAGTTTAAGACCTTATAAAAAGACCTTGATAGTATCTTTTTGTATTATTACAATTGTTTTACTTATCTTATATATATTGTAAAATAATTGATTTAAAAGAGTGAAAGATCTTGATAGTAAGATTCATTAGAATACACATACTTTTTAGAAGCTTCAAAACTTGAATTGAGAATGTTTTGAGTGAGAAATTACTCAATTGTTTGCAAGAGGACATTTTGAGATTCTACTAGTGTAAAATTGTTTTGGTGATTTTGAACACATAGAGACTCTTTTTCTTAATATTTTTTCATAGAATCTGTCTTGGATATAACTTCTAAAAAAGGTGAAGATTTAGAAGTAATTGAGAAGTTTAGAAGAGATAATTTTTACTATTGAAAGGTCAAAATATAGCTTTTGTTAGTATCTTTGGACCTTTAGGATATTGTAGATGAAAGTGAAGAGCCTCCAAGCATACATGCAGATCCTAAGGAGATGAAAGACTTCAAAAGACATGAAAAGGAGGCTTTTAGCATAATTGCCATCAATTTGAATAAAGCCAATTTTTTTCATATTATCTCTTGAAAAGGACCAACGAAAGCATAGAAGACTCTTTACAATATATATGGGAGTGAGAACTTATCTAACATCATTTTCACAAGGAAGAAATTCTTCACTTGCAAGATAAAAGAAGACAAAGACCTCATGGCTCATGTCAATAAGCTAAAGGTTCTTACAAGCTAACTAGTAATTATTGACAAGCTTTTAAAAGAGGGTAATATTGTCATGACCTTATTTATGAGCCTTTTCAAGTCGTACAACTACTTCATTATGACATTGGAATCTATTAAATTAAACGAACTTAGAATAAACCACGTAACAATAAGACTTGCCTATGAAGTCATTAAGAGAAAAGAAAAAGAGCTTCAAAGTAAAGATTCAACTCTCTTTTCAAGACAAGGCAAGAAAAGCTATTCTAATCATGTGGCAATGTGAGAACTTGCTTCATTTGTAAAAAATGAGGTCATTTTGTACAAAATTATTAGAAGGTAAAAAATAGAAATAGAAAAAGTGCATATAATATATATGAGTGATTTGAAGGAGATGATTTTTTATTCATAGCAAGTGAAGACACTTCCATGGCTGCCATATCCAAGTAGATTGTTGATTTAAATCCCACCAAGCACATGACTCCATATAGATATTCATTTAACACTTTTGAAGAAATTTTGGCAACAAATATTTTTATGGAAGACAATGACATGGTATAAGCTATTGAAATGGGCTCTATTATAGTAGAGATTGTTGTGAGAAGAAAAATCAAGAAGATCAGATTAAAGGACATCTTATCTATACCTAAGATCAAGAAAAACCTTCTTTCAATGAATAAACTAGTTTCACATGGTTATAAGGTATAATTTAATAAGAATGGATGCTTTGTAAAGACATTGGATAGAAATGATATTACTAAGGGCTTTAGAAATTGCAACCTCTACTTCATCAATTGTAAGAAGTTGAATAGAGTTGAAGTAGCCATATTTGATAAGTTTTCACATGATCAAGATAAATTTGGCATTTGGCATTAAAGCCTTGGTTATTTAAATTTTAAGAGTATGAAAGAATTTCAATCCATGGTAAGTAGCTTGGATCTTAGATAATTATGCAATAATACCATGTCTCTTACTTATAAAGGTTATATCTAAATTAAACAACAAAAAGCCTCATTTCTAAGTGAAGTTGGAACACATACAAATAAGTTGTTGGATATTATGCATTTGGATATTTGTAGACTAATAAAGATGCTATGAATAGGAAAAGCAAGGTACTTTATTACATTTATTGATGGTTTTTTAAATAAGATATGGAATTTTATCCTCAAATCCAAGAATGAGTGTTTTTTAAGGTCTAAGGAGTTTAAGGCACTTGTGGAAAATCAATGTGAGTTCAAGATCAAGGTATTGTATATGAACAATGGAGATGAATATCTATCAAATTATTTTGATGATTTCTTGAAGATTCAAAGTATTGTAAGATAAATCTCTATTTCTTACTTTCCACAACAAAATAAAGTTATTGAAAGATCAAATCAAACTATTATAAGGATAACAAGGAATATTCTACATGCTCAATATTTTGGATATAAGTTTTTGGCAAAAGCTATAGTGAATGCAATATATATAAGAAAAATGTGCCCTACAAGTGCGCTCACATCAATGACTCTAGAAGAAACATAGAATAGAAAAAAATCTAGAATTTTATATATGAAGGCCTTTGGATGCATTTCTTATGGAAAGATATTAGATTGCATGGGATCCAAATTTGATGCAAAAGATACAAAATATGTATTTGTTGGATATTGTGAAGGTACGAAGGTATATAGACTAATATGTTTGGATATAAAGAGAATCATCAAAAGTCATGATGTTGAGTTTTTGGAGTATAAGAATGCTTGTGAATACTTAGAGATATATTTAAGTAGAAGTAATATTATGTTTAAGGACACGTCTTCAATTCTAACAAAAAAAAAAAAAAAAAAAAAAAAAAAAAAACCAAAAGAGATGTAATTGATAAAGTTGTGAGATATAATACAAGATTAGTTAACAAAAGTTATTCACAAGTTACCAATGTTGATTTCAA